ATAGGTAAACGGGTCAAGCCCGTTAACCCGTTGGGTCAACCCGTTATTGACCCATTACCCATCGGGTTCTGTTAACGGGTTATTAACGGGTCACGGGTCATGAACATCTGACCCTAACCCGTTTTAAACGGGTTGGTAACGAGCGGGTTAACGGGTTGGGTAAAAAATTGCCAGGTCTATGTAGGAGGCAAAGATTTGACAAACGGGTTTTTTAACTTATGTTGGTTATATGTTTTTTTTTTTTTTTTTGAATAGAGGAAAAGGGACATGAGATTAGAACTCAGGTTTTGATAGTCCTAAGCACATCCTGCAAAGAGAGGTCAGTAGACTACCAAGTGCTGGACATGTTGGTTATATGTTTGAAGTATAATTACGTATTTTTTTATATTAATTATTATTAAAAAAATATAAATATTGATATTAAATTTATAATTAATGATATATAAATTATTTAATAAAACTTTTAATTTAATAAAGGTTAATTTTTATTTTTTTTGAACATTCATGAGAATGATTAATTTTTATTTGTTAACATTAAATTAATATAAATATATATATACATATATATAGGGATGACAATTCTCCTCGTTCAGGGATTCCCACCATGGAGACGGGGCAGGGAGAAATATTTCTCCTTACGGGATGGGGACGGAGACCATTTTCTCCTCACAAAATTTCGTAGGGAATTTTTCTCGCTCCGTGAGGATCTCCATTCCAAAAAAATAGTTTTTATTTTAAAATTAATTTATTCTTTAAACTCAAACCCAAATCCAAACCCAAATCCAATTACAATTAAACTTAACCCAATACTATCCAACCCAACCCAACTCCCAACCCAACCCAACCCAACCCAACCCAACCCATTTCCCTATATTTAACCCTAACCTTAATTTATTTTAATTCTCATCACTCATGGTCTCACTCTCAATCTCAATCTCTTTATCTACGGCTCACCCATCTTTTAACTCCATCTCACCTTCTCAGTTTCCTCTGCTGTTGTTGCTGCCGAAGCTTGCTGTCGAATCCATCTCCTCTGCTATTGCTGAAGCCATCTACTCTACTGTTGCCAAATCCATCTGCTCTGCTGTTGCTAAAGCCATCTACTCTGATGTTACTGGATCTATATGCTTTGCTACTACTGCCGAAGACATCTGCTTTGCTGCTGCTACCGCCAAAGCCATCTGTTGCTATCGCCGGAGCCATATGCTCTACTGTTACCGGAGCTATTTGATATTAATTGGTGGGGATCCCCATTCCCTGTAGGAAACGGGGATGGGGGGCAAAATTTGCCCCTCCCCCATCAAAAATCCCCAGGACAGGGATGGGGAGGGGCTTCCCGACCCCACAAGACCCCGTTAACATCCCGATATATATATATATATGTATATGTATATATTAATTGTAACTCGTGGGGCACAACTTTAAAAACCCTAAATAAGAAAGGTGAGAGAACAAAGAATTAGCATTTTCGTTTCCTTGCTGGTGGAATCAGATTCATTTCATTGATTATTTTTAGTTGGTAAAAATCTACTTTTAACCTTTTACTTTAATAAGTTATAGGTTTTAACCCCTTATATTATATTATAATACTTTTAGCTCCTCATCTTTATGAATTAAAGAAAATAACCTCTCAACTTTACGAAATGAAGAAAATAACCCCTCACCTTTATAAATTAAAGAAAATAACCGTTACTTAATGTCAGTTTATAACGTTTGTTAACTGACTGTTAACATTCCGTTAGCTTTGTTCTTGTCACTGTTAACAGTTTATCAGTTGACAGTTAATGAAATGTTAATAGTCAGCTAACGAACATTATAACCTCACGTTAAATAAAAATTATTTTCTTCAATTCGTATAGGTAAAAGATTAAAAGTGTTATAATATAAATTGATGGGGTTAAAACCCACAAACTTATTAAGATAAAGAGCTAAAAATAGGTTTTTGACTTCACGAACCATATGCATAAATCTCAATTGATTTTTTTTGTCTTAAAAAAATTATGGACCTTTTAGTCTTGAATTATCTATATGATAACTAACAAATGAAAATAATTGAGTTACAATATTTTGGTTAAATGCCCCTTTTGGTTCATCTACTATTGAAAAAAGTCCCTTTTTGGTCTTTGTATTGAAAAAATCTCCTTTTTAGTCCCTAAAATTTAAAATACAACCCTTTTTTGGTCCCTTTATTAAATTTTTACTGATCTGTCACGTTAATTAACAAAAACATTTGACATAGATATTTCACGTGTAAAGTTGCTTACGTGGACTTAATAACATCCTCCATGCCACTCTTCCTGTGCAAAAAAAACCCTAATCGATTTTTTCAATTCAAATATCATCTTCCTTCTTTCTTCTTTCAAAATTCTTGTTTTTCGTTCATAATCAACCCTTTACATGTGAGATTGGTCATGATTGACCAAAACAAATCCTTCTCTTTACTCTTTTTCTAATTTCAGATTTTCAACTAAGTTATGAAGTGGGTAACATGAGCACAACAACATAAACCTATCACCTCTAGTTTCAAACCTTAATATCAAACACGATATGAGTTTTGTAATAAACCCAGAACTTAACATCTCTAATTCAAAAGCAAACTAATTCAAAATCAAACATGAAATTTTGGTTTCATTTGGCTTACATTCAAAAAAAAAAAAAAAAAGAGGGTTGAAACCCAGATGGGTTCTTCGAGGAACCCAGTTTCTAAGAACCTCGAAGAACCTAGAAGTTGAGTTCCTCGCAAAACCTAACAAGATGATGAAAAGGATGGGTGGCGAAGAGGATGCCGAGGATGAGGATGAGCAAAGGATGAGGAGAAAGAAGATGATGAAGAAATTAAAATTAATTTCGGTTTAAATTCATTTAATTCATGTATTAGTAAGTAAAATTTTTAATTTGTACATGTTGACTCAAAATATGCTTACATGGATTTATAATTTTATTCATGTAATATCCACATCATTTATAATATGATTTATATAAAAAAAAATCAAGTCATTCCGTTAATTAATGTGACAGTTCAACAAAAATTTAAGGAAGAGACCAAAAAAGGACAAGATTTTAAATTTTAAGAACTAAAAAGGGAACTTTTTCAATATAAGGACCACAAAGGGACTTTTTCAATAGTAGAGGGACCAAAAAAAGTATTTAACCCAATATTTTTATTTAAAATTTTTTGTATAATGTAATAGCATAAATGAGTAATTTAATAATTAATTTTTTTTATTCACTAGCAAGTGTAAATAAATATACATAACCTTGTTTACCAACCAAGGAATTATCAAATGTTAAACAAGAAACTTCTTCTGCAGAGCATGATCGATGAATATTTTCCCAAGGAGCTCAGCACTAACAAAGAAAACAAGTTCTCGAAAAAAAAAAACAGGGGGCAAATTTTAGTGAAAGAATCATGCAGATACAAGTGTTGTTATACAGCTGAGCCAATACAATTTCACAAACATAATGTCTTCAATCAGCCAAAAATAAAAAATAAAAAATCGTACAGACCTCATTAAGTAGATTATACTCAGTGAAATGACATCCAGGGCTAATTGTTTGGAAGTCTGCCAATCTCTTCAATAAATTGACTGTAAAGGAAAATCCACGCCACAACCATATCAGTTCTGCCATGCTGGTTGCGACCAAGAGCAACACAAGCTAAGCTATTCTTTGATCCAATGAATCTGACCAAAATTATCCTGACATCACATGACAGTTCATTTTTACTCTTTTTAATGACGAGTCCAGAGTAATCTTCGAGTCATTGCAGGCGGTGCTAATCCTGGAATATCCCGAATGTCTTTGTTCTGGGGATTCACTATCTGGAAAGGCAATCATGATAATTAGGCATGATGGTGAACAGGGGCATAAACCATTGTTTGATTTGAAAGTAGTGGAATTTAGAAAAACTGCTTAAGAAAATCACAAAGGTCAACATTCAATCCTGAACCCACACCGAGCATGCCAGGGCACCAATTGAGTAGTCGGAGTAGAATTGGTGAAAGATTACCTTCACAATGATGATGGCTATTACCCCCAAGACAATAAGGAAGAGCAATGCCATAATGCACCTATCGGTAGCAACCTATGGGAAAAGAAATTATATAAGCAATGCCATTATGCCAAATAAAACCAGAAACAGTATACATAGAGGAAAAGGTTTTTTGGAGATTAACCTGCCGACCGAGTTCTTTAACCAGTTTAGAAGCTTTCTTAATTGAGAAATGAATAGAGTCCAGCTCATTAACTATCCTGCTCATTTGTTCAGTCTAAACATGAAAGTAAA